AAAATAGTGTATTTGTTAAAATCAGTAAAAAATATAGAAAATGTTTTAAAAAAATCCTTAAATAACTGCAAAGCCCTTTATAAACAAGAAAAAAAATTGAAGCTTTGCAGCATAACAGCAAAAAGGAAATGCTTTGGAGATAGGGTCTAGTACGCATACTATACTGAGCCATGACATCAGTGTAATTATTTTTCCCTAAGGTAAAAGTCTTATGTTACAAATTCTTCCCTTGCCAGAGGCCTCAGGCCCCACAGATGTTCAGATAGCAAAGCACTTGAGTTCTCAACACCCAAGAGGTCTATAGGAGCTCTATTCCTACACCATACCTACAGCCCAATCAATTTCTGGTTTTCTCATTCTGGATTTGTTGCCCCTTTCACCTGTCAGAGGCACTTCCCCCTTGTGTGTCTCAAAATAGTCAATGCAGCTTTGAAAGGCAAGGTGTGCCCTTGCAGCAGACCTTTTGCTGGTTTCTACTTCTGCTGTCGTCAAGTTTCTATCCTGTGCTGGGACCAAATTTCCAAAACATGTCAATTAAGCAAACACTTCCCGCTGAGAAAAATACCTGACATTGATCTTCAGCCCTACAGTAAGATCCGGTAAAGGAAGGTTCAAATAAGCAGAGATTCTTTTGGGATCACCTAATTAGAAATCCCTTTCTGAAGAGTTCATATGGTACTGCGTGATAAGAGATTTTAGATGTTCCATGACCCCTTCCCCCATGTTTTTTACAAATAAAACTCCTTAAGATCGAACACATGGTAATACATATTAGTTATGGTATTTATTACGTAAGAAACAAACTAAATTAAGGGTGATCATACTACCTCAACGAGTTACCCAGCATTTGCTCTATAGTAATAGATGAAAACATATGATATAAAGACATTACATTAGAGTTAATATTTTAAGTCACGAATGACCATTGACTATATTTTAAGCACAACCCTTTTTAAAAAAGGTTGCTGCTCATTTCCAATATGAGGCTGGGATTGTCCAGATGAAAGAGCTGTTAAGTATAAATCCCACTATTTTATGTGAGTGAATTGTGAAATCAATTTTAAAGGAAAACTTGGAATCTGCTACCTATATTGTTTACTAGTAAGCCACACAGAGTAATGGAAATAAATGGTCATGTCTGGGTTTGCTTATGGAAATTAATTACTATTAAGGTTGCATAATTAAGGGTCATAGTACCAGTTAAGGCATTCCCATATAACTCTCTATATTTACCATAGGAAATAATACATATATCAATGTAATAAATGGCCGCATGTCTTAAAAATAACTGCAGCATGTTTCTCTATTATAGAAAAAGTGTGATACCTTAATAATATAATAATACTGCTGTATATAATACCAGAGATATATAAGAATACATTTGGAAATGCATAGATGGAGAGTAGAGCCCTCTTCTAAGGAGCGCTTATGTGAAAATAGCACCTTTCTATAAAAATCCAGTATTCACGTGCAGCAATTACTCCTCTTGGTGTTAGCCAAAATACAGAGGGGATCGTGTTGTGCAGTTGTTTCAGATTTTTACAAGTGTAAATATATTGCAACAGAAATTACAATGCAAAAAGAAATATTGAAAATATACTTCAGTTAAGAGCACTTACTGGTGTAATATACTTTTAGAACTGACATAATGTACCTAACCAACCATTTAAAAATGAGAAGTAAAGAAACACTTTAAGTTTAATGCATACAATTAATCTTTACTTGGCTTTGTACTGACTTAAGATATTCTGATTAAATTATTTTCATGCTTGTGGTCCTAAACTAGACCAAACTGGTTTTTAAAAGAATGTTTTTCCTTTCACATAACTCCTTAGCTGAAGCTTATAATCTGGTCCAAGGAAGATCAGTTTTGAAACAAGTGTAGTATTGGTGCAAAACATGCAATTCCTGCGAGTAGAAGCATTCAAGCTCAAGAGATGCATAGGCAGACATCAGAAGAGTGAGCTTCCAGGTTTAGTTATAATAGAGATTTCACACTGGGCCCAGTCTACAGTATGTTTAGGTAATTAACACTCATTTCAGCCAACCATCATTCTTTGTCTTCAGCAGACATCCCGATGGAATACAAAGATTTGTCTCATTCTTCTCGCCCTTTTTTATAGAACTGAAAAATGTTAATTGTTATGCCATCAAACTGTGTAGTGCAGAATCTCATACAAGCTACTATGTCATCTACACTCTGTTGGTGCTGGTTTCATCAGAGGGGAAACTTAAAAAGAAAATGATGTCAAGAAGTTATTAAGCTGCCAAGAGAAAGATACAGATATTTGACACTTGGTATCTACAAGACAAGACTATAAAGCTGGCTTCACAGTAGGGGCATTTATCAAAAGTCCATTGCTAAAAAATAAAAAATAAAAATGAGGATTATTCTAAAGGGAAAATCTGGAATTTTGAAATTTGATACATAATTATGCAGTTTGACAGTACCAAAATGACTGCTTGTAAGGGATTTTGCTGGGTATCTCTCAATTTACCCCTCAATATAAGAGACATAACACTACAGAAAACTATATACTTTCTGGCACCATAGAGGTAATTTCGAAAGCTATGGAAGCTGTGGCAGTGATTTAATTGGAAACAAGAGGTTTGCCAGTTAGTGATAAAGCTGAAAGTACACAATTGTTTTTCAAAACCAGAAAAAATAAGTATGGAAAAACTCAGCTGGATTTCTAGTTGACCATAAGCCAACTAATGGCTTGATCCTGCACTGATTTCAGTATCTTAGAGGGATATTTCCAAAGTTCTTATTAAATGCAAGAGTAAATAGACTTTTTAGAACATAGTGTGTCTGGCTCACTTTGAAAAACAGAAAGCAGCGTGACTTTTCAAGACATAACAGATACATTCTATAAACAAAGAAAGAAATATATTGCAGTCTAATATAATCACGCAGGACAGCAATTAGTAGAAATACTGGCCTGATTCTATGAATGCAACTCGCCATACTAACTACCTTGCAGGTCTTGTGTTTCATTCATTTGTCAAATTATTGCTTCATGTGTACGTCTTTAAAATCTCTTAATTTAATTTTCACCTGTTCATGCTTTCAACAACTTCACTTTCACACTGAGACTGCTCTCATGACATCAAGCACTAAATAAAATCTTCAGCTAAGTAACAAAAAGATCTTTTCTTACTAATACTTTCAGTAACTCACCTTGAATGGCAGGCCTAGTGTGACTCATTGACGTTCTTGGGCCCTTAAATGAGTTGAACTCATCTCTCAGGAGAAGAAATAGGACTGTCTTTGTCTGGGCACAACAGATAGAATCATTCATCAGGAATCTTTGAAATATGCCTTACTGTTCCCAAAGCAACTGATTTGCCTCCCTTTGCTTCAGACTTTATCAGAGCAACTTGGTCAAAACTCTTAGAAACTCATACAATAGTATCTACAATCAGTTCAGACTCAGCTGAAGAAATTATTTTTGGCTTGTAAAGGAGAAAGAGCGGGATTGCCAGTCCCTTCATCCACGATGACTGCAACTGATTTGGCAGCTCTAACTAGACTTTCAAAACTAACCTCTCTGATAACCCCCTGAAACTAAATTTTTCTAGCAAACAAACTAGCAAATTTTGGCTGCCTCTAATTAGCAGGATCCAGACTTCATTGTACAAATCTCTTTGTATGGAAATCTCTTGACCTATTTACATCTCCGTTTCTGACTCAGGTTTCTCTTTGGTGGTTGTGATTAAAAAGGAAGTATGGCAATCATGTTGAATTAAAATAAATTAAAGCTGTGCACTTTCCCAATTAGGCCTTTTGTGGGACGTCTTTCAACAGGAAGACAGGCCCATCCATCACTCTGAATTGCAATTACATTTTAAAAGCTTCATTCTCTCTTATAATTTAAAATTTCATAATTAGTTATCATGGGTGTGGTTAGAGTTGCAAAACATCTGCTTATGGGTGCAGAGCTGGAGCACTTGAGTCTACAACAGAGTCACTAGTTTTGAAAGGCTGGCAAACCCTGAGTTAAACCCCAAAACAACCATCAGCTTGAGAGTAATCACATATATGAATTGAATTTGCATGGTTAATTCTGTACTCTGTTTATTTCTGGGCCTCGGCTTCTCTCCCCTGTATTACCTCAAGAGCAACAAATGAATCTTAAGTTTTATTCTTCATTTATACAAATATAATTTTAGGCATAGTAATGCTACATACACTTTTAGAAGCCAAAGAGAAAATTGCCTTCTATTTAGGTACACAGGGTATTTGCATTGTCACAGTACATTACGTGGATTTGATGCTTAACATATAACTGTACTAATCTTTGTGGCAAACATAATAACAAAAGAAAGTTGTTCGGAGATTTTTCTATTTTTATTTTAAAAAATAACAAAAACCTTTCCATTGAAGGACCACATGTAAAACTCTGGTTTCTCTGCAGAGAGACCAAGGCTGCTTATTACCTACAGTATACTAGCTATGATGAACAGACCACCATCGTTGTGACAACTGATGTTGCTGCCTCCAGGGTAAAACAAAGGTTTACATATTACACAAGCAATTTAACTGTTTTCTAAACATATTGCCAAGACAGTGGGAGTTGGCAGCCAGCACTGTGTTTTAGGTTTTGGATACTTGGATTAGAAGTGACTGCTGATTACAGACCTTTTTATTTGTCTTCTACGAATTACAAGCAACCTAGTAACCCAGCAAAGAATCCTTCACAGCACTTAAACTTGTCTTCATGGCTTCCCAAAGATTACATACACAAATCACTCCACAAAAGTGGCATAAGAGACTTGTGCATAGATAACTACATAAGACAATTGTCTTGTTCCAACTCTTAAAGAGTTCCCCAAAGTGAAATGTTTTATAATCCTTTTTGTGCAGTAGTCAGGAAAGAAATAAAAGAGTTTGGGCAAAGATTATCCACAAGAAAGAAACTTTTTTTTGGGTTCCAGCTGAAACACAATAAAGAACATAATTAACTTCACAATTCTTTGTGTTTTTCATTTGACTGCAGGGAGGAGATGAAAGAGGACTGTTAAGCCTTGCATTCCATCCCAATTACAAGAAAAATGGAAAGCTGTATGTGTCTTATACCACCAACCAAGAACGGTGGGCTATTGGACCTCATGACCACATCCTTAGGGTCGTAGAATACACAGTATCCAGGTATCAGTAGAAGTCTAAAATTCACAAATTCTGTATTTGTCAGCAACCTTTTCCTTTTAGTATTTCCCATTTCTAAAATGAACTATCAGATTTACAATGTGTACACTTGGGCACTTGCAGAAAAATTATTGCTGATTTTATTTCAAACAGTAGTTTTGGAACAGCAGTAAGTACACTGGCTTAGTCCTTTTAAGACTTTTTTTAGTTATTCTGTCATTTTTTAATTATAGTTATTTCCTACTTATTGTGTATAGGCAGCAAAATATTTTTGTGAATGCTGGAAAAATGAAATTTCTCAGAAATAATCATTTGACCTTTTTCCGCCAAGTTACAACATCCACATCTTAAAGTATAATTTGAATGATTCTAGTTTCTTTTTAGAAAGAACAACAATGATAGTGAACTGTGAAAACTGTTCATATCTTTATATTGCAGGAAAAATCCACACCAAGTTGATATGAGAACAGCAAGAGTGTTTTTAGAAGTAGCAGAACTACATCGAAAACATCTAGGAGGACAGCTTCTGTTTGGCCCAGATGGTTTCCTATACATTTTTCTTGGAGATGGCATGATCACTCTAGATGATATGGAGGAGATGGATGGTTTAAGGTACAAAAACTACCAATGGATAGACTTCTATTATTGTCTTCTGGTTTTGCACTGTATTTGGGGTCAGAATCAAAAGTGATCAGCAGTTGTCAGGACAAATGCCACTCCTCCTTCCTTTACTACATAATCCCCCTATTTTCAGTGCCTGGGTTTAGCAAACTATGGATTTTCATAACAGTCTTACCACTTAAATATATCTTCTTGTCATTGTGTGCTATCAAACCATTTAAATATTGGAGCCGTCACCAGTAGATGCAATTGTATTTAAGCACAGGCTAGACTATCTTTTTTCCAAACTATTATTCTATGAACAAGATAACTTTATTGAACAAACATTCTAAAAAAGTGTCTACAAACACATACCAGAGTCAACAACACTGTATCACTTAGGAAAATGTCTAGAGAACATATGAAGGAATCCTACTTTGGTTCTACCTATAGAATTTTCTCAACCTGCTTTTTCCCTCAATTCAGTATGCTCTGTTGGAGTTGCAACATTTGCCTTAATTTAGAGAAAGCATGGACTGACCCTTTACAGACCTAAAAAGACCTGCTATGCTCAAAGTCCTCTTAGGCTCAGCAGGAGAGCAGGTGCTCCTGCCTTTTGCAGTGAGGATATACTTAAAACCAAGACCAGAGAACAATTCTAATACTTGATTTTAAATTAATGTAAAACAAGGAGAGACTGAAACAGATTTGTGATGAAGACGGACAGAAAGGAATCAATTTAAATATGCACATCTATTCATGTTTGTAAAAAGAGTTCTGATGCTTTTCTACTCCTTCTACATTCTTGTCCTTCTCCCTTCCTCCACCATGATCATGAATATAAGGCAAAACATTTTACTCTGTCCTGTGTCACGTAACGAGAAAGTTCTGATTCTTTACCAAAAATACCAACATCTCCATTCAACCAATACAATTACTTTTGGTTTTTTAATGTATAATTAATATATAATTAATGTATAATTAATCTTTGGATTGTAGTGTGACTAGAAATCATTGAGTTCAAGAGTAGGATTCAAAGTGTTAGCAAAAAGCATTATGTAACTACCAAGTGATTATATCCATAGGTACTTTAGAGGAGATACAGTATAAAAGAGTTAATAGCCTTATGTTTGAAGCCATAAAATGATGTTGTTGTATGGAAAGTTGCTCTTATTATCAAGTTGCTTCCCGACAGCATGGTCAGAGGCGTTCTAATATGCACATAACAAGGCAACATATTGCCCAAAGAGAATCTTTGATCGGTTCTGCTACTATTCTTTGGACTTGCATGTACCATAAAACCAACCTAGATGTGATTATTCAGTAAAGTAGGTTGTTTATTTTGCTGGTTCACTGTAGCATTATATGGATTAAATCTACCAGTATAACACTTTTTAAAAACCAACTATTTTATCCTCCAACTTTCTCAGCGATTTTACAGGCTCTGTATTGCGCCTCGATGTAAATACTGACCTGTGCAATGTCCCTTACTCCATACCACGGAGCAACCCACATTTTAATAGCACAAACCAACCTCCTGAGATTTTTGCACACGGACTCCACAATCCAGGCCGGTAAGTAAGTTACAATTAAATTGAATTACTCTGGAGCAGGTACTGTTTTCAACCAGAAACCTTTTATACAGTCGGGTAACAAAATGTTAATAATAAAGGCACTTGTGAACTTTTTAAAACTTACACTCCTCCACCTCCACACATACGTCGCAGTTAGAAACAAATGTACGTTGGCAAAGGGGAAGGAGAAGACAATGCACAACTATTACAAGTCAAGACTGAAATGAAAGAAACAAAGTACAGGATTTTTGTTTTTAATGAATAATAAAATTATTACAGTTATGAAAGAAGAGAACTTAAAGCAGAGAGTTGGTAAAGTACAGCTGAGAGAGGAATTTGAGAAATTAAGAGTAGTCGAATCTTGACTGAGAAAAAAAGGCACATGGAAAACAAATGAGAACATCTGGTGATATCTAAACAATAACACGGAGGAAAACAATGCTTTAGCTAAACAACACATAATTCAGCAAATTAGGTGGGTGGTAGTACTGAAATGACATTTAAAGTCACGGTTTGAAAAAATTCAGAAAGTCAAGTTGTTGAGATAAGGAGTTGATTCTTGGACTTTTTTACAATCCAAAATTCCTATACCATAGAAGTCAACTCATTTAGCTTGGCTAAGGTAATACTCACATCAGGTGCTATTGAGCAGAGAATATTTTATCACTGGAAAAAATATTTTTAATTCACATTATATAAAAAATGGTGCGGGGATGGGGAAGTTATATTATCTCTTGTATATAAATCTTATGCACTTCTCGGATATTTTGGCTCAGTATGGAATAGGTCCCTCAAATGAGTAGGCACCACAAAGAAACAATACTCCTTCAAAAGGTGATGCTTCATACTATTGATCGAGAATTATCCATTATCAGCTCGTCTATCTTGTGGATTCTCTTATATTTTTTGTTTTACAGGTGTGCTGTGGACCGCCACCCAACAGATGTAAACATCAATTTAACTATACTTTGCTCAGATTCAAATGGAAAGAACAGATCTTCAGCAAGAATCTTACAAATAATAAAGGGTAAAGACTATGGTAAGTTCCAGCCAGGGTAAAGCTGCTGGAAACAGTTGGTTTCTATGCCCATGGAATAATAAATAGAAATCAGAAAAAAATAAAGGACTGTATAGCTATGATAGGTAACTTACTGCATAGACAGCATAGGTAACCTACAAAAGGTAGAACTTATGAAAAGTATGGTACAAGCAGATAAAAGATGCAAGACAAAACAAAACTTAAATTACTCAACTTTGTTCTTGTCAGTGAAGAATACCATGTAAAGAACATTTACGAACCATGCCAGTTGCTAGTCTGTCAAAGATCTCACTGTTGCTGCATATGATGGCTCATAAAGAAAAGATTTTGGAATATCAGGAAGTGATGAAAATGTATTCTTAGCCATCCACAAATAAACTTAAGATACAGAATGGAAACCTCATGTAATGTGCCTCCTATAATGGAAGAAGTGAGATAGACAACAACAGACCACAACCAAACAGGGAAATGACTGAGCTCTGTTTAAATGTTACTAAAAATAAAAAACTTAGAAAAATGCACAATGCTACTCCTTCATAATAAACGACTAGTTTAGACTAGATTGAAAAAAGATAAATGTACTCAATTAGGGACTTAAAATTTCAAAGTGTTTCATGTGCTCTCTGAGTCAGTACAATTGTCAGTCATAATTTTAGTTCTATGTTTAACTCTGATACAAAGATTGCTTCCTAGTTCAGGCAAGCCAGGTGACAGTTGCTATCATCTACCTCAGTTGACCATTTAGCAGCTTGTAAATTCATGGTGGTAAAAGGTGATAAATGCCAAAGGTGCGTAAAGGCATCAAGAACTGGTCTATCTCCTGGAATGTAGCATTTTCTGATTTTATTCATATCCCTAGTTCTCCCACCTGTATTTTACCTAAAAGCAAAGCAGCTGTGCTAGCTGGTACGACAGTACACAATGGTGTAATGCAATTGTTCTACTTCAGTTATTGCATGTATTTTCTGTCTTCATTTTATAAAAGCCAAACCAAAGAATAATATTTGGTAAACCACTGCTCCAATGGAATTTTGACTGCATCTTTATTGCAGAGTAAACTAAGCAATATTGTGTCTATCCAGAACAGCTTGCCAATATTAATACTAGGCTGTGGGTCAATTGCTTCAATAAAAAGAGCTCATCATCCTTTTCTCCCACATAAAATTTCAGCTCTTACTCTTGTAGAATTATCTGGGAAATTCATTTATCGAAGACTTGCAGATAGCCCTCCAATTAAAAAAAAAAAGTTCCTATCAAACAAAAAAGTCTATGGGCTGTGGCTTTAATTTAAAAGCATGCAGTTAGCATATCAAGTTGAACCTACTTTTACCCTAAGCAGTATTTGATTGCATGAATAGGAACATCTACACTGAAACTTCCTTGAAGACATTCATTGATATGACTAAACTCTGCAGTTTTGTAAAAAAAGGAAAAAAGCAGGTATAAGAACTGCAGCTACAACAGCACCGTAAATAAAAACAAGAAGCTACAGAGAGCAATACTAGTGTTTTATGGGACATAACACACATACCGTTTTTAAAACTGTGATTTTGAAAGAGTTTCTCAAAGTACTGAATGATTTGGAAAACAAGTTCTGCTGAAAATCACTGGAATTTCTGCTTTTAGATACTGGAAGGATTTGCAGTGAAGGGGGTTTAATTGTATTCCTGAAGTTCAAGAGATCCATTCTGCAGACTGTATTGACACTTAAAAGTTAATAGCAATCACATCAACTTCAGTGAAAATCTGACCGAATCCTTATATAGTTTTATTCTCCCAGCCTGGGCACACAGGGGAAAGCAACTATAGTCTCTCGTATCTAAGTTCCTCACCAGCTGTTTCACCAACAGCCTTTGTTGTAATTTTCTGATTTTTTTAATGCTTCATTTCTGGCAACATACCTTGAATTTTGAGGAGTGTTTAGATGGAATTAACCTCTTTTCTTGAAGTAATAACATTTTCATAAATATTAATCAAAATATGAAATTGCATATGATCTAATGCTACGGTAGTTCCTTTTTAGAAAGTGAGCCTTCACTTTTAGAATTCAAACCGTTCAGCAGTGGATCCTTGGTTGGTGGATTTGTCTATCGAGGCTGCCAGTCTGAAAGGCTCTATGGAAGTTATGTATTTGGAGACCGCAATGGGTAGGTTTCTTATAACTCACTCTTAAACAAAAATCAATATAAGGTATATTTAGTTACTGAGCTTCCTGTATAAAGGAACACCAACAGTCTTGCATATTGTGTCACTTTGCCAATGTAGCAGAGTGACAATACAGATCAAACTCTAAATTTTGAAATAAAAGAGCACAGCATTCTAATGAATGGTGACATAAGTAACATATCTGATCCTTCCAAAAAAGTACAAAGACATTCACATCACAGCACTCTTAAGATTTTAGTTCTACAAACACTTACATGCACCACTTGCATTATGATGGGAATAAATGTTAATTGTGAAACTGTTTCCCAAACAGGTCTAACTGGTAAGACATTGACAACTTTGGGGGTTTTATGGAAACATCACTGATAGAGCAAATGAATTTTTTTTAATGAACGGGCATAGTTTCCCCATGCCAAATAGCTCAGTATTCACAAATGGCTGTATAGTATAGCTCGAACCCAATTTTCCAATGTCTGAATGGCAGGAAGGGAAATGCTGTGCTATTTTATTATTTTATAGGGAAATCATAAGATGATGAACTGCACAGACGTATCTATGGAGCTACTTGCAGCAAGTGTTTACTTATTTATCTGGACAGTGAAAACTCTCTATTCATAATGTAATATAACAATTTGCTTTATGTGTTTTCGAATATAGAAATTTTTTAACACTGCAACAGAGTCCTGCAACCAAACAGTGGCAAGAGAAACCCCTCTGTCTTGGCAACACTGGTTCATGTAGAGGTTTCTTTTCAGGCCCTGTCTTGGGATTTGGTGAAGACGAATTAGGTAAATAGAAAAAAATGTATGATATTAAATATTAAGCCTTATTGGTA